TGTTTTGAATCAAAAAGCCGTTCAACCTGTTCGTTTATTGAACGAGAAAACGTTTTTTTTTCTTTAATTGTTAATGTTTTTGTTATCTTTTACGATTACGAAAAGTTCCGCCTTTGTTAGTATCAGCATGTAGGTGTCAAAATACATTCTTGAAAAGATCGATTATATTCATTTTTAATTGTTTTTTGGGAGGATGGGGGGGATTTCCTCCACCCTCTGCCTAAAAAAAGTAAATAAATTTGCGAATAAAAACCACGATGTGGTTGCATTGATATGGAAGGATAAAAAAAAAAAGAAAGCCGGTGCGTGTAACCACACACGTACATCGTGAAAAAATATTTATTTTTTCGTTATTGGATTTTTGTGTTGAATTAAAAAAAAAAAAAAAAAACACTGGTAAAAGTACTACTCTAGACTAGAGTAGTTAGTAAATCGTTCAAGGCAGATCGTTTTTTTAAATCAATTATTATAATAAATAACAAATTTTTGGCTGGAAGTACAAACTTTCTTTAACAGTTAGTGTTAAAAGTTCCGGTTAACCGTTAACGTAGTTTAAGTTTTAGCATAAATGCCTCTGATAAAGGCATGATTCCACTTTTTCCCTAGATTAGATCAGCGGGTATCGGTACGACGCTACTCACCAATGTAATATGCTGCAGAAAAGATGAGAGCGTTAAAAAAAAACAAAAAAAAACCTACTGTCACTCCAAGAATGCTATGAAGAATCCAGCAGACTTCCCAAAAAATGGTCAAAGGATTTTTTAAATCTAAATTAAATTGTCAGAAAAAAAAAAAAGGTAAAATCTTTCAAGTATTTTGTTGGCTGATGAATTATGATAAAAAGTCGTAGATTTTTTTTTCTAGTATTGTAGGAATATAATTTTATAAATTGTGTGACTGCGTGCGTACCTGGTGATTGTCCAATTGGGCATCACAAAGTGACAAAATAGAAACCTCGTAAAAAAAAAAAAAAGAATGAACAAAATATCACTGTTTACACAGAGATACGATGATTCCTTCTTACTTTTAAAAACAAATGAAAATTATTGATCGGTTAGTACAAATACAAAAGTAATTTTTTTAAACATTAAATAAAAATTGTATAAACAATATGTGTATTGATTTATTTAAAGAAAATACTAATAAAAAAAAAGTAAAGGAAAAAAAAAGTTATAAAGATTAAATCAAGGAAATGTTAAATTGTAGATCAGATTTAATCAGAAGGTGAGAGAGTTTCTAACTCGGGTGCCCAAAGTGTTGAGATTTGTTTAGAGAGGAATTTTACTTTGAAAAGCCAATAAATGTTTTACTTTTAAAGTTAACTTAAATGAATTAAATAGATCGATTCACAAATTGTCTTGAAAAGAAAAGATACAAATGAATGGTAATCACTGTAGCTTTTTTTTTAAGTTTTGATAAAAAAAATAACCATGTTTTATACTTAGATTTAAAAAACAAATACAAAAGAAAGACATTTAGAAAGGACTGCTAGGTATTAAAAAACTAAAAAGTTAAAAAACTTACTAATTAATAAACAAACTTAAGAAGACTAAGAGCTTTTTACTTTACTTTGTCAACAGATTATTTTTGTCTCTAGACTAAAACTTGTTTGATGAAAGACAATAAAACAATCACAAAATGACTTTGTGAAAGAAAAAAATGTTTATAAAGAAACAATTCTGGTTAAAGAGATTTTTTGTATTTTTTTTTTAGTTTCATGTATTTTATTTTTAATTAGAGAAAAAGCAGTTTAAGTTTTCTGACGTAATGTCCAATAAAATAAAAATAGCTGATCAGTCTTATTTTTAAATCATTTGTATAAAAATAAGTCTACAAAAAGATTATTTTAGTCTAGAAAGAAATCCACATCATAAAATTTAAAAATATAAAACTCCCATTGATTAAATAAACTCAGTAAAAAAACTTGTTGCCTGAAGATTTTATTTTAAGTTGTTTTGTTTACCTTAAAAAGCAAAACATATATATACATATATATATATATATATATATATATATATATATATGAGGTCAAAATTTGTGTCACAAAGGAAAAAAAAATCTTTAAACAGGATACGTAGGAAGTACAAACAATCAATAGTTTTTCTTTTTAACGGGGTAACTCCGGTTCCGGTGTAGTAAGTAAAAAAAAAAGTTGGTTAAAAACTCGTGTGTGTGCAATGAATAAGAATTAAATGAAGTTTGAAGTGTAATGAATAATACTAGTCATTTTTGTTTACCTTTTAAGGAAGAAAAAATTTATAGATACTATAAACCCAGTGGAAAATGAAAGAAATCATTTCTTTTTTTATACTAGGAAAGTAGAAAAAAACACTTTCTTTACGTAAGAAATTTATGTGACAAACAACTGAATGAATACAAAACAAAAATATTCGAATCCAGGTTGCTTTTTTATTTTAAATTTTTCTTTTAAAACAAAAGATAACATTAAATAAAAATATGAATTTATTTTTAAACTTTAGGAAAGAAAGCACAACAGCACAGATTGTACCCTTGTCTTTTTAAGAATATAAATTTTATTTTATTTTTTTATTTATGCGACAAATTACATTTTTTTTTTTTAGTTATGTTTGTGTACTTCATTTTTTTTTTTTTTTTTTAGTTCCAGTTGATTGAATGAAGGAGTAATAAAAAGATTATTTTCTTCTTTAAGGAAGAAAAAAGTAGCAACAGTTAAATAAAACTCAAGTTAAAACTTACTGGGGAAAAAAACTATTGAAAAGTCCAATTATGCCCATAACCCCCCGCCCAAAAAAAAAAAAAAAAAAAAAAAACTAACAAACAAACAAAAGAAAAAAACTAAGTCTTTGTTTATCTTTTTTATGGGCACTGATCATGACAGTTTTTAAATTTGTGGATAGAAACTTTTTTTTTATTCATTACACCTGATAAAGGCCTTGTATTGATTAGTTTGGTACAGAGAATCACAAGTGAGATTAGGAAGATTGTGTTGCGTCAATGTTTTAGGTGATGACACTCGGCTATAGACCAACAGTTTGCAACTCAGTGTCTGTCGACTAACTAGAACACTTTTTTTTTTTACATTTGAAAGTTGTGTAATTTACAAACTCAAATTTTCTGTTCGGTTGAGTTTTTTTTTGATAACGAAATATAATCATTCATTAACTGTAACATATTTTGTTTACTTACTTTCCCAAAACAAGGTTTTATTTTTACTATTTCTGTTCTACGCAACTTCGAAAATCGACTGTCAAACTCTACCAATTATGAGGCTTTTTCAATGAAAACCGAGTCAGGAGCAAGACAATTCTTATTTAATTTTCTTTTAAGGGTTTTTCATTTCCAAAAAAGGTAAAAGGACAGGTTTTTTTGTTTGTTTGAGAGAAATTGCTTCTTAATATTGAACTGTCGTCATTAACATCGTGTTTTTTTTTTTTGATAAAACACGATTTTGTTTTTAATAAAAAATAAAATAAAAAGAAGTAAGTAGTATCCGGATGACATAAAAAATTGTTTTAGGAAAAAATGTGAGCAACCTCTGGCAATAACGACTTTGAACGAGGATTAAATTGCAATTTTCCTAAATTATTTTTAGACTTTTTATTTTTTTAACATTTCTTACAGTAAAAAAAATCAAAACACTATGTACACTTTTGCGTGGAGTAAATTTTTGAAGTAATTAAATAAAAGATTTAATTAATTTTATAATGAGTTTAAAAATGCAACGAGTAACTTCATGGATTTTTCTTTTCTACGAATTCATGAGAAAAAGGAAGGAAATAAATTCGTCCTGTCATCATAATGAATAATAGTGGTCTTTGTTCCACAAGTATTATTAGTCATTTGTAAATAAATAAACTACCTACAAGCACTCAGCACCCTGTACCAACAGAAAAGTCGTGGGGTAGAGTTTGTTAGTCAATAAAAAAAAAAGTAAAATAAAAGTTAAAACTTTATCTTTTACGTGTTTTGGGGGATTTCTTCAATGAAGACTTTTAAAATAACTTTAGTTTTACTACTGATTATTGCTTTCTTGTTAGTTTGGTAAAATGTCAGATTCATTTAAAAAAAAAAAAAAGTATTGAATTGACTCTCTAAAGACAAAGTCATTTAAAAAAAAAATATAGCTATTTTTTTTAAACGGTGATTTTAACTTTATTTTTAATGGATTAGAAGCAAAATAATTGTTAATAAAAAAAGTGATGTGGAAAAAACACACCTCTCTACCACTGGGGGGGGGGGTAATATGAAGAAAAGTATTTCTTTTTAACGAGTTCAAATGCTGGATAAAAAAGTTTTTTTTTAGCATCTTGAAGGTGGATATAAAAAGATGAAGTTAAAAAATAATGAAACCAAATGACTCATTTAGAAAAAATTTAGGAGATAAAGAAAGACTAAAAAGAGTAAAAAAAAAAAGATAAACAAAAATTTAAAAAAAAAAAAAAAAAGGTTGAAAGTACTGAAAAAAAAAAATAAGAAAAGAAACATTGTATTTTTTTGGTTGTGAAATCGTCGAATCGATAATTGATGAGTAATCGAACTAAAAACAAAAATAAATACCAAAGAAATATTTCTACATTTTAAACTCAGATTAGAAAAAAAAAAATACATCGATCTGCATTTATTTTTACCTGTTTGTTTTTTTTCTGTCGATCTAAAACCGAAAAAAAAAAAAAAACAAAACAAAAAAACAATATCTCGATATCAAAGTTTAACTTTTTAGTTTTAATTAATTTAAATATATGTTCACGAAAGAAAACTCAAAAAAAAAAAAAAAGTCAGTGTGATCAAATAAAGACAGAATGAAATTTTACCTCGAGTTTGAATTATTAAAGGAAAGCCATTTAAAAACAAACATCGAAATTATAACAAAAACAAAACAAACAAAAAAACACTGCTTAAAAAAAAACACACGAACGTGTGTAATAAAGAAGATTTATTTTTATATCTTAATCACACTTGTTATTTCCTAATAAATTAAAAAGAAACAATTAAAAGAAATGTTTTGTTTTTCTACTTACAACGTCCAGGCATTCCTGCCCATTCGCTTTCTGATCGAGTTCAACTTTATGTACAATACCATTTGCTTGCGACACCAAGCAAAGAAATTTCATTTTGATCCTGTTTTTAGGTAAACATTTAAATCTGTCTTCGCTTTATACACGTATAAAAAATAAGGTAAAACAAAAGAAATGTCTCGTTTTCGCAGTTTAAAAAAATATATTAAGGCCTCCGATGGTTTTAAAAAAAAAACAAAAAAAAAAAACGATGTACCAAATCAGCTGTTTACTACAGCTTTGCACACACAACACTGAAAACTTAGGAGAAGGTATGTTAATTATATCAAAGATAGCCAGCCAATCAGCATGCGTGTAACAAATCGGAGTTGGAAGCCATGCATTGTCTTTTTCCCTTTGTTATTGTTATTATTGTTTCATATATTCTTTTTCATTTTTTCGATTCCAAATGTTATTATAGTAATCGTATTATTATTAGTATTATTATTATTATTATTATTATTATTATTATTATTATTGTTGTTGTTGTTGTTGTTTTTGGTAGTTTTAACTTTTGATTTTCTATTTAATAATTATTATTATTATTATTGTTGTTGTTTTTGGTAATTTTAAGTTTTGATTTGCTTTGATTATTATTATTATTATTATTATTGTTGTTGTTGTTGTTGTTGTTTGTTAGTTTTTAAATTTTGGTTTGCTATTTCATACATTTATTATTATTTTTTCTTCTTTGATTTCTGTTGTATACACATTTCCTTCCATGTCCCAACTAGAAATCTCCAAAGGTCCAAAATGGCTTCATGACATTTGTCAGGAATCATTTCCCCACCCCAAAGCCATAGTTAAAATCATACATATTTCATATTATTATTATTATTATTATTATTATTAATGTTGTTGTTGTTATTTATTTATTTTATAAAAATATTTTTATTTGATGAGTTTTCACGTCGAGAGGATATCTCTTTAGTGATTTTCATTGGTGATCAAATGACATCATTTTTCTTAATACACCGTGCTATTTAGTTTTTTGTGCAATTATTTTTATTTATTCATTAAAAAACAAACTCAACTTCTAAACTAAAGAAAGAACATCTGTAATATTGGGAATCGGTCTGAATTTAAGGGTAAAAAAGTAAAGAAAGAAAGCCGAAGTTTAAATAACAAAATAAAAACGGTATATCCACAATAAAACCCAATGTGTATCTCGGAATCCAAAACTTGTATCCCTTTTCACAGAGTGTACAAATACTACACTCTGATTCGGCATTTACTTGCCTCTCAACGGTGACCGGATGTGACTCAAGATCATTTTTAATGTGGGTTTGGCAATTGCGTAGATATGGGCGAAGGACAAAAATTCCCTAATCACTGCGACCATTGTCATTCTAGAGTTGGTATTCACCAACCCCGCCTCTTTAGTACAAGGAGGGAAGTGCTGTTGCAGGGTTCGAATGTTTCGAGACTAGGCATGCTTCTAAGCTTTTCAGTGTTTTCCGTGACAGTGAAAGAGGAGAAAACGGGAGGAAACAGAAATGTGGTACTCTTATACAGAATGATACTGAAAATTCTAAGGACGGAACGAGCAAGCAACGGAGAAATCTTAAAGAAAATAGCACCCCCAACCCCAAAAAACAAAACAAAACAATCATGCCCAGAATCAGGAAGAGACAGTTGAAATTCCTTGGACGCATAATGAGGAAAGAGGGTTTGGAAAACTTAACTCGCGCAGGGCACATTAAGGGCAAGAGAGGTAAGTGAAGGCAGTGAGCCACTTACCGATGATCTTGTGTGAATGGATAACGGAACAGGAGTCAGGAGCTTCAACAAAACTGCTCAAGGAATAGGAAGATGTGGACAGCCATGATCGTCCATGGATCCCAACCTGAAGACCGAGGAATACTAAACTTTGTTCCGTTGTTTAACTATCTCCATGGTAGATAGTTTTATATACTGTGCTCACAGATGTATATGTGAACTAAGTATTGGCTGATCTAGAGGTGGCGGGACAGGCGCTCCGAGTGATAAATTTTGGGGTCAGCATTTAGGTGAATTAGAATAATGAAGTAACATGCTGTACTGAAATAGATGTTTTCCAGTTTTGCAATGTTGCTTGGAGGCGGTTAGGGTCCTAGGGTTGCCGGGTAAGCTGAACTTCGGTACGTTTACAAGTAGAATTTTTTAAATTTTCTCAATGAAAAAAAAACTGAAAATGTATAATAACGTGTTTATTATAATATACAACTTAATACAAGCTAAAGAAAACATTCATTATCCTCCCTAAAACATTCATTATCCTCCCTAAAACATTTATTTTCTCACCTTTAAATCTTTTCATGGCACTTTCTACACCTATCTTCTTTACAAGATTATTTTCTATTGACAAAATAGACAAAGAATTTAATGTCTTGAGTCATAGACGACCGCAAGTATAATTTTATAAGATTTAGTTTTGGAAAATCCCAAACACATGAGATGGCGGCATGATGGCGCTCTCGTCCTTGATCGTGACACCCTGATTCTGTGCAGAATTACCGAGGGACTCATAGTGGTGCTCAGCAGAGCCCACAGATATTCTGACCCAAGGTAAATTCATTCTCAAATAATCCCGCCATTTTTGAATAGGTATGTTGCAAAGATTACCACTTGAGTTGCGTGTTATGTACGTTTTTCAGTAAATATTTAATGGCTCCCGGTACGTTTGTCCCGCAAACAATATTTGGTGGATTCATATGAGTCCGGTCAAAAACAAACCACAAAAACATGAAATTAACAAAAAGAAATTACATTAACGTGTACACAGTTGAAAGGAAAGGAAAATACATTAAAAACTTAGCTATTAAAATGTTCTTCTTTGTGTGTCTGATACAAGCGTGCGTGTGAGAGTTCAGTCGTCAGTGAACTGGGGAAAAGCACTTTACTCAGTAGGGATGCCTTCATCCATATCCTACTACATCTTGGAGAAAGAGGAAGGAAATAATTATCTTTTTATAGACTTAAACAGCGCTAGCTAACGGGTGGTTTGTGAAGCCAAGTAGGGTAACACACAGGTACTATTTTCTTTTATGTGCCATGTTTCTTCAAGACGTAGGCGGTCATGGTTCTCCACACCTTCCTGTCTTTTGTTAAGGTAATTATTTACTACCCAAATTGCTTTTGTGGCTCTTGTTCTGCCGTTTACTTCAAGGTAACTATGGAAGTATCGGCGCCTCACCCTGGTCGATTTGACAAGTGAATTCTTGATATCAGCTCGAGAGAGACGATCTCGGCATACGACCCTATTCACTGACAAGACTTGAGTCAACCACGAATTAGCCCAATAGTTCGAGCGTACTGGGTTTGTTCAATTGCCGACCGCATTGAGAAACTGTAACTAATATCTGTTTAACATAGTTGCTGTATAAACCAAGCTTGCAACAGGGATTAACTATGCAGGGTTGCAGATGGGAATACTTAGAAACGACTAACCAGCCACTGTCTTCATTTATTATCTAAGTGTTTAATATCCTGTTTAAGATAAAAACACATTTGTGTACACCGGGTTTCTTCCCTAACCAAATGTATTTCCTTACGCATTGAAATGAGAGAAAGTTCTATTTTATTTGGAAACCAAGTGACAGCAAGTCTCCTCACGACTTGTGGATTTCTTTTCTTTAATTATTGTCTTGTATTTTCGCACCAATTGAATAGATTATGTATTGTAGGTCTACATCAGATGTCTAGTGGTTTACGTCGAGAGATTGCTGGACAAAATTTCTCATCGATTCATTCGCGCTTTTTTGGTATTATTCTCGATTCTTACACTGCGATAATCGGCGTAATTCTCAAATCTTCATTCTTCTCCTGTGATCTGTTTTCCTTCACAGATTGACGATCATGGCTCTCCACAATTTCATGTGCTTTATAGCTCTTAATAAATTTAGTCATTTTGCTATATCTCCCAAACCCTGCTCCACCATCCATTCGCTCAAGTTCGCCAAGGAGGTTGTACGCTGCTTTTCTATGGCCCTGTTGCCATCAGCCTATCCTGTGAATATCAAATTTCCAAGCCTTCTTTCCTCATTATGTACCCTAGAAATTTCAACCGTCTCTTTCCGTCCAATATAGCCCTTAATAAATTTGATCTTTTTGTTATCTCTCCTAAACCTTGTCCCGCCATCCATTTACTCAAGCTCGCTAGGTGGGTTATGCGTTGTTTTTCGCTGTACCTCTTGCTTTCAATATGTCATGTGAGTATCAAATTTTCCAAGCCCACTTTCTTCATTATGTACCCTAGAAATTTCAACCGTCTCTTCCTGATATTAAGCATGAGTTTTTTTTGTTGCCATTGTCTCTAGGACTTTGTCGTTGCTCACGTGTTCGGTTCCTGGCGTTCTCAGTATCATACTTTTCATAGAAAACTCCGGAAACTGAGTGAGTGATAATTGGATTTTTATCTAGGTACCGTAAGGTTACGTCAGTCGATGGTGAAAGGTTAAAAATCTCACGTTAAAGTGACAACGAGTCCAATAGTGAAGGTGTCGCGGTGAACGACGATAAGAGGTTTACATCCGAGACAACGGACGTCAGTATGTAATGGATCTAAGAAGGATGCGTGAATATTTAAGATTGTACTGCAAATAAAATATGTAATATCCACAAACATAAATTATAAGAAATGTCCAAATGGTAACGATATTCAATCACAACAAAAAAATACATGTTTGAAACAACAGGTTATATTTTATATATACAATTTACAATTTCTTTGTAATGATGTGTGCAAAGCTGTAGAAGAAAAGTTCTTTGTTGTTTCGGAAATGTTCAATGTCTAAAAAGTTGTCTGGCTTCGATTGAAAGGTTGAATTTAACTTAGACAAAAGATTTTTCTATGAAAGATATTAAGTGAAAAAGTTGCTTGTATGAATTTTTCTAATCTCTCATAAAGAAAGTTTGTTTCTTTGGCGACAATTTTGACACATAATTCCCGAGTGTATCTTTGCATGTGCGAGTCTCAAAATGCGACGAAAATTCGTTTGCTGTTTCTATTTATAGTTTTTTTTAAACAACAAAATCGGCTCCAGCAGCTTGGTAGCTTGTTGCGAATTTTTCTGAGA